CACAACTAGAATGTAGGAAGGCCAGGAGCCAAAGTCAGGTTTATCATGCCTTAGTTACTGCTTATATATATATTCCTCTACCATATACATTGTAGGTTCTTGATAAATATTTGTTTAGTGAATGAATTCCCATATGAAAGTTGAAGAAACTGAAGTTAGGATGCTACACATCCTGACTTTAGAAACCAGAGCCCTGACTACCCCAAAACCATCTTCTAGTCTAAAACCTACTGCCTGCCCATTCAACCAAACATCATTTACTCCTTGGATGTCAAGGAAACTCTGTAACAATGGGTGTCTTCCACTATAAATTGTTTTTGCATCAAATTTAATGATTGTTATGTGGAAACACTCAGGACTTATTGTCAGAATGCATACCTATGGTACTTACTTGATCCAGTATTTCTAGCACTGAGATGGATGAGGACAGACTTGACCTCCTCATTCTATTTTAGGATTCCCACCCCCACCCCCAAACACCCATTCCCCAATGAAAGTAAATATTTAATCTTCTAAAAATAGAGTAAGAAAGGACTAAGGCAGGAATGTCTATTTTAATCCTGAAATAATTGCTATCTAAAACTGACTCCAATGTAAGTACCAGCAATATTATCAATGGAAAAGAAAAGTTGCCTTTGTATCAGTGTCCACCCAGGAGAATAGAAACAGCTCTAGGTCTTTCAAATGGAGGAAATTTAAACAGGGAATTGGTTGTAAAGATCTTAAAATGTGTGGAAGAGCAAAAGAGCAATTTGACCATAATAAACCCTACATTATTGGGGCACCTGGGTGGCTCAGTTGGTTAAGCATCCAACTCTTGATTTTGGCTCAGGTCATGATCTCTAGGTCATGAGATCAAATCCCACGTTGGCCTCCCTGCTGAGCATGGAGCCTGCTTGGGATTCTTCTCCCTCTCTCTTTGCCCCCCGCCCCAATGCATGTGTGCTCTAAATAAATAAATAAATAAACCCTACATTGTCATTCATGATTGCATCCCCAGTGCCTAGCATAGTATGTAGCATGTAGCAAGGGTTTAACAAATATGTATTGAATCTTTGATTACATCTGTGGGTGAGATTTGGTCTCTCAGTGTAGGAAAGCCATAGGTTCTGTTAGAAAGCATTAGGATACCTGTATGAGTCTGATAATTTGGTGAATGTGGATATGTGGTTTGACCTTTGGTAGGAAATCACATTCAGAGCCTTCTGTTCACATCCTGTCAATGGATAATATTTATTGAACTAGTTGCTAGGTACTATTCTGGGCACTTTTCTAAGTACCTTGTATTACTAACTTAACCTTCATAGTAACCCTATGATAATGGATTCATCGTTTCCCATTTTACAGATGAGGATGAAACTGAGGCAAAGAGCTCTTAAGAAACAGGTCTAAGATCATACAAGAAAACAGCAGAGCCATGCTTCCACCCACAGAGTTTGGCTCTAGAGGCTACACTCAGTCTCCACGCCATTTGTGTCTTCATTGTTCAAGTGAGGAAAGCTTAACCTACCTTTCTACCTTTATTTCCTGTTTTTCCCATTGTACTCTAGGGCAGAACCCTGTTGGCTGTCTCTGTGACCTGTTGCCTCTTCTTCCTGGGCCCACAGAAGACAGTATTTCTCAACTCTTCCCTGTGATTATTGTAGCTGTGGGACTGAGTTCCAGCCAGAGGAATGTGAGCAGGGATGACATGCATCATTTCTGGGCCTGGCCCATTAAGCCTCTCACACATGGTGCTGTATGTTCTTTCCCTTTCTTTCAGCTTTAGGAAGGTGAGCATGGTGAGCTTGGGTGCCATATTTTGAAGTGTTGGAGCCACAAAATGGAAGAAGGCTGGATCCCTGCATATTTCTGGGAGAAGAGTCAGGAACCAATCAGGACCATCTGTGTTAGACTTTAAGCAAACAAAAGATAAACTTATACCAATTTTATGCCACTATATTTGTTGGGGTTGTTTGTGGTAGCAGCTAGAGTTTTCTCAACCAATATATGTGTGCACTGAATTGGTCTATTATCCCTGGAACACGTGTCTGGCTTTTGCACAAACTTTTCCTTAGAATTCTCATTCTCTCCTTCCAATTATTCACATCCTAAAAATTATTCAAGGCCTAAACCAAGTCCATTCACCTCCAAGCAGCTCTCTTCCACACCCATCAGCCACAGTGATATCTCTTTCCCTCAATTCCTATAGCACTTTGTTGTCTATGCCTTTCATGTGCCCTTGTCATAGCTTCAATTTTGGATGTCTTGTTTTCCCAGGGAGGTTGTAAACTCTTGAAGGTTTTTATGCTTCTTGTATGTCTCTGAAGTATGTAATACGGTGTTGTGCCTTGGGAATTTTCAATAAATATTTGTGGGAAAAATGAATTTATAAATGTATTAGGCTCAATAAAATCTATTTTCCTAAAGACAGTCCTTGATAACTCAAGGAAGCCATGTAAACTATAATTTACTGGAGTTGGTGTTCTTATTATTCTTTTCACTGACCTATACATTCTAATGCTTTTTGACAACTGCTTAGAGGAGACAGAAGGTATGCTTATCAAATTTCAAATGACACAAAACTAGAGGTAATAAATAATGCACAAGATGACAGAATCAAAACTAGGCAAGTGGGAATGAAGCAGATAGCATTTAATAAGGCTAACTACAAGATTAAATTTTTAAAAACCAACGGCCCAATTTCAGTATGGAAATTTTAAGAAAAAACTTTCAAGTTTTAATTGGCTGCTGGGCTGACATGAGCCCAGAGTGGTACAGGACCCCACTCAAAGTTAGGCTCAGTACACTGAGTGGCAGGCAAAATATTTAGACTCTAAAAGGGTACCAGCATGAATTAAGGTCGCTAGGTAGAGGCCAATTGGAGGTGGATAGAACCTTAATGTTGGGTAAAGGGGGGAAACAAAGTCCCATATTTTAGCCAGGTCAAGCTCAGCACATGGGTTGGCTTTCAGCTGTAGCATTAGTGGGAATCCCTGCCAGAGGTCACCGTTAAGTGATTTCTGACACTACCTTAGTACTGATAGGGCAGCCTGGGTCCCCTGAGAGTTTTGCCTCAGAAGTAGAACAAAGTAGGTCTTAAAGGTTTGCTATTTTAATTTTGGCCCCACTCTCCTGTGTCAGGGTCAGACCCCTCACTTTTGAAGCTGAGAAATGCCATGTCATCCAGCATTTACATTCAAGTTACCTTTGAGACCGAGGCAGCGGGGCGGGGGTGGGGGTGGGGCGGAAATCACATCTTCTCTGGCTCAGTTGGGACAATCATTCCAGGATCCTCAGATAGATCTGCTCCTAGAAACCCACATTTCCTAAAAACTGGGATCAGAATTCTGGCAAGAAGCCTGTGGCCTAGGCCTTGGCACTGGATCATCAAAAAAGTGAATACAGTCTTAGGCAGTGTGAATAGAAGCCTAGCATCTGGAACAAGGGTCCTGCTGTCGGTCTGTGCTGGTCATAACACACAGGAAGAATTGTTTCTATTCTGGATACCATGATTTAAAGGGATACAGGCAAACTGGTGTATGTCAAAAGGAAGATGATCAGAATGTTGGAAACCAAATCACTAGTTACTTCTTGATGGTTCAGGCTCAAGGCCTAGAAGGGGTCAAGATGGTGGGTGGGAGGGTGGTGTCAGGCAGCCTAGATATGAGAACTGTCTTCAGATAACATGAACGCAATCTTGTGAAAGAATATGAGCTTGTTAGGTAATGCTAGAAGACAGAATTTGGACCAGTGGGTTTTAAGCCCAAAATGAAGATTTTAACCACTATAGCTCTTCAAGAGTAGAATATGATTTTTAAGTAAGAGAGGTTTAAAATGTTCAAGTAAAGATCTTATGACTGTCATATTTGTTTTAGCTGGAATTCAGGACCTTTGGATGGGAAGCTAGAGGATTTCTAAGGTCTCATTCAAATCTAATGTTTCATGATCTAATCAATCTTTAACTTAGAAATGTGCTCCAGAATCTGAGGAAAGATTATTACCTGAGATTATTTTGGAGTTATGGTTTGGTTTTTGAAGTGGATCTTCTCAAAAGAAACAGAACCCATGGATTATTTAACCTGCGATATGTGAGGGGAGAAAAATAGTGCCATTAAGGAGGGAAAGGCACTCCCTGATGTGTATGGGAAAAAGAAACATTCAACACATACCACGGGAATTGCACCGAGTCTGTACAGGCGTGAAGAGAATGACAGGGAAAAGGTTGGAAACCTTTTTTCCTAGTGCGGAGAAGTTGTGATGCTATGTTTGTCTGACACTGCGCAAGGTGAGCGCTTGTCTAGAGTGGGGAAAACACGTTTGGTCTTTACCTCCCTACATCTGCGGGCCCTGGACACAAACACACCAGAATCACAGTGTTCATGACAACTGATTGTCTTTGAAATACTGTGTTTCTATACCTCTGTTCTCTCTACGTATGTTTTTGGACTCTTCCTCTTTCTCACAGACGGGAAGAAATACATTCTTTTTATAATCTCTTGTCTCACCTGGGGTGAGGGGTCATTTGCAGACCTGGGTAGGAAAACAGATTCTCACGCTAGGAACTGGGGGTGGTACCACGTGCTGGGCAACCTCTTGACCACCAAGAAGCCTTCCAGTCACTCTGCTCAAACCATTGCACGCTCTTCACGTGCACCTGCCGCGGAATACAGGTAACCTCAGGTCCGGGTCCACCGAGGTCCCCCACCTGCGCACAACTCTGGCGCTCCTCGCTTCCTCGGCCCACTCCTCGCGCGGTGCTCGCCGCTACAACTCCCGTCTCGGCCGCAGCAAACCTGAAAGCGCCGGGGTGGACGTGCGGGTTGCGCGCGGGCCGGCGCCGGGAGCTCTGGGCATGCTCAGTCGCTCGGGCAGGGCTCCGGGCGCGAGCCGGGCTCCTTCTGCACCACATTCATCTGCTGCCAACGGGAGCCGCCGGGCGCTCGCAGGCTCGGCGCGCGCTGCCCGCGGGAGGACCCGGCCGTCGCGCCCCCGCCGCCTCCCCGCCGCCTCCCGGAGCCATGGCAGCGCTCGGCCACCCCGCCGCCTTCGGCCGGGCCACCCATGCCGTGGTGCGGGCGCTGCCCGAGTCCCTCTGCCAGCACGCACTGAGGCGCGCCAAGGGCGACGAGGTGGATTTCGCCCGTGCCGAGCGGCAGCATCAGCTCTACGTGGGCGTGCTGGGCAGTAAGCTGGGGCTGCAGGTGGTGAAGCTGCCAGCCGACGAGAGCCTCCCCGACTGCATGTTCGTGGAAGACGTGGCTGTGGTGTGCGAGGAGACGGCCCTCATCACCCGACCCGGGGCGCCGAGCCGGAGGAAGGAGGTAACTGCCGGCCAGGCGACGCGAGGGGCGCGGCCGGGGACGCGCACCGGGCCCTCCCTCGCCGCCCGCGCCTGAGTTGCGGGCGGAATCGCGGAATTGGCCCCCGGCTAGTTCAAAACTTCTCAATTGGGGGAGAGGGTGTGTGTGTGAGAGAGAGAGTCAGAGAGAAAGAGAGAAGTTCATTGTTCACGCCTCCTGATTGTCGGCGCAGCTTGGGTGCCTCCTAGACAACCCGACTGAGTGTGGTTGTGCGGACTCCCGCAGGTGGGTGGGGTGGGGAATCCATCTCACAGGCATTTTTATTTGTAAAGATTAAATAGTGGTAAAGACAATGCAACTCTGAGTGTTTCCCCGGGAGCGGGGCCAGGGAGGGTTTTCCCCTCCTGGGGGGGGGGGGGGGGGCAGCGCTGGTTGGTGGCATTGAAGCCCCCAAGTCCTATCTAGGGCTCAGAGCAGCGCGGGCCAGATGAATTAGCCGCGCGTCGGTGCCCACAGATCTAGGGCGTCCCGAGTTACTTTTTAGTGGTAGCGAGTGAGTCCGGCAGAAAGGGACGACTGTCAGGGGAGTGGTTTGTTGGTGAGCTGTGACTACGTGCTCATGAATAGGCTGGGTGTGAAAAGCTGTCCTCGGTCTAGGGTGTTGGGTTTGGGGGTGTGTGTCTGTGCGTTTAATTAAAAATGGGTGTTTCACAAATTCCATGATTTTTACTCTCTCTGTTTTTAAACTTAGAGCAATTAGAGCTTTTTGTGTTCTCAAGGGAAAGTGACTACTTTAAAATATTGCAGCTTGTGAAAATGAGTGTGATGGCTTTAAACCCAAGGTAGGTGAGTGGGGAGAGAGTGAGAATGGATTTTAAAATGCCATCTGGCCCTGGTTCCCCTTATCACCAGGCTAAAAGCCCAGGCTCAGGACTCTCCATTTCTATTGGCACCAAGTGGCATTGCAAGAAGCCGGAGGTTTCTTTCATATCTGGACAGTTAGGGATTTCCCCCCCTATTTTGTCTTTATACAGTGGGCATCAGGAATGCCTCGTAGAGCTTATAGTTAAAATATGCTTATTCTACACATGCTCCACTACTTAGTTGATAGAACCATACATGGGCAGAATAAGCATATTGCATTTATTTTTCACTGAGACAATTAATTCAGCTTTCATTCGCCCTACCTCAGCAGAAAACAAAAAGAGTAACAGGTTCTCATTCTCTTTGCTTTTTATTTCCTTTGCCACACCTTTGAGTTGTTGAGATGGCCCACTCTATTTTAAACTGATAAGCGTGTAACCCCATTTGAAGACTTTCTAGTGTGTCCTAGGCCATATGGCACAACCGAGGTTTGTCCTTTAAAGTGTAAAAGAGATTTCAAAAACCCTTTCAACATGGTACTCCTTTGATGAGGGTAGTTCAGTTTCCTGTAAGAGACTGTCACATGTTTAATCATCCATTTCATTTTATTCCTATAATAAAACCTTCCAAATTTTGGCCTGCCTGATTGTAAGTGGGCAGTGATCTTCCCTGTCAGATTTTTGAGGCATACATTTTAATTTGGCTTCACTCTTATATCAATCTGGTGGCTCTCTACTGGAGGGCCACATAGTGTAGTGTATAGGAACACCAGACTGCATCTAATTCTGTGACCTTGGGGAGTGTCTCTTGCCTCCTCTTTCTCACCTGAAAAGTGGACATAATACCTATTTCATAAAGTTGTACTAAATTTATTAATCTATCTGAAATTTATAGGGTAAGCCATTTCATGAATGATGGTTGTTATTATTTACTTAACAGTGGGTCATGGAAGACTTACTTCTTTTTGAGCAGTAAGAAGTCTACTATATACTGAGGTAGTTACAGTGAAATTTCCCCTTCCCACGGTGAAGGGGAATCAACTTCACACCTTAGGATCCGTCCTAATCTGCTATGTAGCACTTCCTCCCAGCTTGAGTATCCTACAGGTGCATGTTGTCTCCCAAAAATGCCTTTGCCATTACACATGATCTGAATCAGCAGAGTTAACAGATCTTTCAACCAGAGAGAGAAATATGGGCAGTTGTGTTGGATAGGGTTACTTCCAGAAAGCAGGGCTAAGCAGGGTAACTAACACTCTTTGAAATCTCTCACAACACCAGTTCACTGGCTTAGTTGTTGAGTGAATAAATGAATGAATGAAATGCTAACTAGCTAATATTAACAAGCTGATAATAATTACTTCAAGGTCCTCTCTGGACTGTTGTATATACTTTTCATGTGACACCTGCCTCCCTAACTGAAATTCCACAACAGCGAGGGCATTATCTTAAGATAATTGCCACTGGTCTCCTTGCCTTCTGTCTCCTTAGTCTCTATTCCATTCTCCATGCTGTGGAGTCCAAGTCTCTAAGCTGGTCTTTCTAAAACTCAAATCTGATCCTGTCCCTGCTCCTGTGAAACTTCTTGAAGAACCTCCATTAAGCTTGGTAAACCCATTGAGCTGGACTTTGCTTGCCTTTCCAGCTTCAGTTGCATCTCTGACTCTACCCTGGGTGCCTCCCAACCCTTTGGCTCAAGCCAGGTTCTTTCACTAAAGCTCACCGTGCTATTCTTTTCTAGGCATACATTTCTCCTTTGTATGGGACATTCTTCCTCTTTCTTCTTCTCCATTTTACCTACCTGTTCTATTCATGCATCATTTCCCAGCTTACTGTTATCATTAATATTATTAGCTAATCTCTATTGGGTGCTTGCCATTTGCAAAACATAGTGTCAGAGGGCGCCTGGGTGGCTCAGTCATTAAGTGTCTGCCTTAAGCTCAGGTCATGATCCCAGGGTCCTGGGATCGAGCCCCACATTGGGCTCCCTGCTCAGCGGAAAGTCTGCTTCTCCCTCTCCCACTCCCCCTGCTTTCTCTTGCTGTGTCTCTCTCTGTCAAATAAATAAATAAAATCTTTAAAAACAACAACAACAACATAGTGTCAGATTTATGACATGGATTTCATTGAATACCCACATCAACTCTTCAAGCTCAGTACTATCATTATTCTTTTTTTTTAAAGATTTTATTTATTTATTTGAGAGAGAGAGAATGAGAGATAGAGAGCACGAGAGGGAAGAGGGTCAGAGGGAGAAGCAGACTCCCCGCCGAGCAGGGAGCCCGATGCGGGACTCGATCCTGGGACTCCAGGACCATGACCCGAGCCGAAGGCAGTCGCTCAACCAACTGAGCCACCCAGGCGCCCAGTACTATCATTATTCTTATTTTAAAGTTGATAGAACTGAGGCTTAGAGAGATTAAATACCTTGGCCGAGGTTATAGAGTAGAACCAGTGGGACCAGGACTTGAACTCAGGTTTGTAGCACTCTACATCTCTAGTCCCAATCACTGTGATACTAAACAACCAAGCATAGGATTGGTCCTCCTTTTATGAGCACTTGTAACTCTCTGTACTTCCTTCCATGGTATCTTTCATACCATACAATAATGGCCTGTTTTACCTTTCTGTATCCCCCCACTATTATGAAAACTGTCAGGACAAGGATCACATCTGCATTTCTTAACATTTTATTCCCAGGACCTTGCACACAAGGATCATGTAGCAAATGTTTTGTTGAACAAATGTGTCCATGACCTTAGATCAACCTTAGTTTTCCCTGCTTATGACATATTTGGTGTTTTGCAGGCATTCTCAATAGATTCCCAAAAGTTTCATTACAAGTGCAGGTGATTTATAAATGTTTTGTTTTTCCTCTTCCTCTCCTTTTACTTGTCTCTTGTTATTTTGCTTGTTTTTATAAAAATCCTGAAAATTCCTTTATCAAAACATCATGTTATATTTAATGACTTTTCTTCCTTGGAAGAAAGAACTGAGAACTGAACTCAAGAAAGTAACCCTTCTGTGAAAGCCACAATGGGGCCTCCCGAGATTAATAAAACACAGGTGCTGTCTACAGGAAGCTTAAGTTTTAGTGAAGAAAACTGTGTGTACAGAGCCAGCAAATAGTGTTGTCTCATAATTCTGTGTCTTCACGAATATGAATATTTTAATGTTTAATACTTTAAAGACAAATTAGCTTTGAGAACCAGTCATATTTTAAATGAAGTCAGCTTAATTTTAGAAGAAAAAAAAGTCAACTTATCAATGTCAACATCCTGTAAACAAATATCTAAGAGCTAAAAAGTAAGACAAGTGACAGAGTGTGAGGATTGGGTTTTAAAAAAATTAAAATTTTTGGATAGGTTATACATTTCTGCAGTACCATATTCAAAAGGTACAAGAGGATAGATAGGCAGTGAAGAGGCAACTACTAAAACCATTTTCCTGATTTTCCTTCCAGAAGGTTTTTAGTACCTAATAAATGATTAACTGGTAGAAGTTACTCAAGCAAAATTGTAAAGTATATCCTGTGTCCTTTTGCCCCTCTTTCAGAGTCATTTTATCCTTTCCCAGCTACCAAGGATTAATATATGGGATATTCTGTCTGGGAGAAAAAACACACATACTCATTCTCAGAAGGTGGTAATGGCTTTAATTATCCTTTCCTGGACCATTTGTATTTTTAGGGACCTCTTGAGGAAGAAGACAATGCATAGCACAAGGTAACAAATCTGAAAAGTGGAATTGGACATTGAGTAGGGACATGGAGGCATAAATGGAAGGCATGAGCAATACATATTTAGATAGAAATTCCCCTTTTATTAGGGTACTTAACTATTTGAACCTACATATTTTGGCCCTGGGTTTATTCTTTGGTTAGGCTAAAAGCATAACCCTGTTGATCCCAGAGGCAAGGTGAGCATAAAGACCATGTCTAATGACTAGCTAACATGTGCCAAGTTGTGTGTGTGTGTGTGTGTGTGTGTGTGTGTGTGAATTGCAAAAGGTGGTATCATTATCAGCTCTATTTAAAAGAAGGAAGCTGAAGCTCAGGTAACCAGAGTTAAGTTGTCCAATGACACACAGCTAATAAGTGACAGAACTGAAGTTTTCATGAAAACGTGAAGGTCATTTTTCCTTGAAGTGCTTGTAGCC